CATTATCTTTCCGAATAGTATGGCAATTCACAGATCATTAATAAAAGGAGTCTGTGGAAAGCTAAAATCTATAACCTGAAAATACATGGCATTTAAAAATATGAAACAAGCTACTTGTTAAATATTAGGATTGACTGGGTTCTCAAGTCTTAAATGGCAATCAGTCTCTGAAAACCGAGGCTGAATTCCAAACCAAAATGAGAAGGCTATAAAAGAAAAATATACAAGATGGCCAAAGAAACGAAAGCGTCAGGAAATAAAACTTAAAGTAATGCCTTCAAAATGAATCATATTCCAAAGAAATAAACCAAAATATGGCGGAAAACAGGTGTCAGTATTTGAAAGACAAATGTAAGATATTGGTTGAATGAAATAGAATATACATAAATACAAAAATTATGTAATGAATATCAGCACGGGATGAGAAATCGGAGAGCCGAGTTCGAATTCCATTTGAGTCTGGAACATTCACTTATGCACAAGAAAGATATGGATCCATATCCCCTTCCTCCTCCAGTTATGGGTTAAATAAAAGAACAGACTGGGTCATATAGCCTTGTTTGGTAATCAATTTACAATAAAAAGAAATAACAACTTCAGTCAGTCGGTTATGATACACGCTTAAGCGATCATGTATCTTTCGATACATGACTGACGAGGAAGATTTTGTTCCCGCAGTAGGTTGCCATTTCTTTCTGCGATACACCAGTTGTCATCCAAAGCTATGCCCGATTTATCCTGCTATTTACCCATAGCTGGAGAGGAGAAGAAGAGGATTCATACCTTTCCCAAGGGTATTAGCACGTCAGTCAGTCAGTTATGTGCCATGCATGATACATGCTTAGGCGATCATGTATCTTTCGATCTGACGAGGCAATTTTTCCCGCAGTAGGTTGCCATTTCTTTCTGCGATAGACCAGTTGCCATCTAAGGCTATAGAATCCTCTTCTTATCCCCACCCACACCCACCAGGGAGAAAAAGAGGATTCATACATTTCCCAAATAAGTGAATGTAATGGATTTGACTGGAATTCATACTCGGCTCTCCGATTCCTCAATCCGAGCCGCTATCCAGTACTTCACTGTGCCTCCTTATAACAACCGACTGTGGGAAACTATTCTCCCTTGTGAGTCGTAATTCGAAAGAGACATGGTTGCCCAAGCGTGTATCATGTATGGCACTTGATTGATTGACTAACTGAATAAAAAATGATAATGAAACACCTAAAGATGACTTCTTGATGTTATTGGCTTGAGGAGATGACCCCAGCGTGTGACACATTTGGAAAAATGACTAAAAACCGTACCACCAGCTGAGTGGAAATCCGGTACTATTTGGGAGCCGTACATAATTGTGCTAGTACAAAGTCGCAAGTCATCGTGGCCAAGGGTTTGAACGTACTGGCCTTGTTCAAAATGATAATCATGCCAAAGTCTGCTCTGTGGATGTGGAACAAAAACAAATGTGCCCGAGTAGATGTCTGTAATTTGCAGGCAGGCATAATCGGATACGAGCGGCCAGCCATTATATATTATATGACGAGTCTGTGTTGGCCAAGGTGATGATACTCTGGCACTTCTACCTGATGCTCATCCAATTAAAAACAGAAAGATGATTCACTGAAGGAAAAAAAAAATTCTCCACTCATTTATGATATTGAGGTGCAATGTTAAATAAAAATTATCCCCGGAATCGATACTTCAAATATTCAAATCAACCATTCGCCCTTGCATGGAGTATTGTTGCCATATATGGTCTGTATACCTCGGAGTTCTTGACAAGATCCAGAGACGGATATGTAATGTAATTGGCCCTGATCTGGCATCTCGTCTACAGTCACTCTCTCACAGACGCGCCATCGCCTCTCTCTGTCTTTTCTACAAATACTTTCATGGTAATTGCTCCGATGAGCTGCTTTCACTGATTCCCAGACTCCATGAATTCAAGCGCCCTACGAGGCTGGCATCCAGCTCCCACCCTTAAACTGTAGAAATTTTTAAATGTAGTGTGGAACACCCTTCCCAATTACTGTTTCCCTGAGAGCTACAATCTCTAACTATTCAAATGTAATGTCAATCGACATCTCCAGTTACCTTGATCTACCCACTATCCCTCTCCTCATCCTTTCTTCTATCACTCCTACCTGCTCTCGCTCCAAATCTTCTGCAACCCCCTGCATCCTAGTGGCTTCACGCCTTGCTCGGGGGAGGGGGGGAATTCTTAAAAAAAACGCAGATTACATAACAATCAGTACCTAAGCAACCTTTACACGAGAATACAATGAATTTTGGACATTTTTCATTTTATTGATAGAAAATTGGCAAGAAGACTTAAAGATCTTCTTTAGGAAAGACATATGGACATCAAATAGACTGGATCTCAATCAAGTAGACATTTTATGACTAAAATATTTTTTTTGAAAGCTATAAATTAAAGAATCGTTTTAAAAAATGTCCATAAGCATAGCTATCCTGCTAAGTTCATCTACTAACTACTATTAATGAAAGATGAAATATTACATTACGTACTGAGTAAAAGTATTCTGAGCTCCATCCTGCTAAGTTCATCTAATAACTACTATTAATGAAAGATGAAATATTACATTTCATTACGTACTGAGTAAAAGTATTCTGAGCTTTATTAAAAAAAAATGTCAGCGCCAAAGACCAAAACATCCAAAGAGGATGTGTCAAACACCGTTCGAGAAAGATGACGATTTTCTAAACGTAGCTTAGATGTGGCGCAAGGTCAAAAGTATTGGATCAAACTCACTACTAAGTTATGATTGTTATAGCAAGACAAGGTTCTAAACATTACACCACTTGGTGGTATCCCTTGCTTTTCTAAACGTAGCTTAGATGTGGCACAAGACTGAAAGTATTGGTCACCTAGTGAGAATCAAAGTTACTACTCAGTTGTAATTGTTCTAAGGAAACAAGCTTGCTAACCATTGCACAACGTCGAGGTACTTCTTGTTTTTCTAAGAGTAGATTAGATAGGGCACAAGGCCTAAAGTATGTTGCATCTAGTAAGGATCGAACTCACAACTCAGTCGTAATTGATTCAAGAAGACAATCTTGCTAACCATTACACCACGTCAAAGTACCCAATCGGAGAAAGATGGAACCAGTGTAAAACAATAAAATATTGATTTAATTCATTTTCCGATTTTATGTATAATTGTCATTTTTCTTTCAGGTCTCTCATTGGGAGGGTTCTGAGGAGCGTGAAACCACCTCTTAATTGCTGGCGCTCCCAGGTCCACCCTGACTCGGGGTGGTAGTACCTGTTAGGGTCCCAGTTATGGGCAAATAGTAGACACCCAAACTAGTGTCAAAGCATGAAAATAGAAAAATACATTTGACAGAATTGCCACCAATACGTTTTTTTAATTACCAAAAAAATAAAATTTCGGCATTTAATGGCCGATTTTTCATTCCATATTCCTTAAAACTTTGTCGTTTTTTGTCCACGGACTTCCCAGCATCCTCCTGTAGAACCACATTTCTGTTGTCCCCAGTTTTCTCCTCACCTCTGAATAAATTGTCAAGCAGTCATCTAATAGGACTTATATTACGTAGAAGTTTAGTTTGTTTATAATTAAATTTATGTTTCTCAATATTTTGCTTTACGAAAGGGTTTTGGATTTCAGTATGATATCTCCATACAGTTTTAGAAGAAAAACAGTAAATAGAAACCTTATATAGATCGTCCAAGTGTTTATTAAATGTGAAATTCCCTGAATGTCTTATATTTTTGGCTTTGTGGTAGAAAATATTAAACTTAATCAATAATCACAGTTACTCGTGATAAGCAGTGAATGGATTTTTCTGACATTTCTGTTATTATTATTATGGTAATTATTATTATTATTATGACGTCGCACATTGGCGTAGTCAGTGGAAATTCTTGAGACATGATGATTACAAGATTCCTCATAACGCAAGAACATTTCATAGAATCCTCACAAACTAAATTATTGTACTTTTCGACATGACTACAATATTTGTCCTAGTTCTAATTTTTTGTAAGCGCTTTTTTAATTTACTATGTGGTGTTCCAAGCGCACTTATGACGACAGGAATTAGTCCTATATTCATTTCCCATAGTTTCTTCAAATCACTAGCCAGATCCTAGTATTTTTCTATCTTTTTAGTATCATGTATCAAATAGAAGAATTATTTGACACTTACTCTATTTGACACTCCTATCTATAACGATAAGGTCACGTCTTCGTGTTTCAATGACATGATCTGTCTGGATCGAGAAATCCCATAATATCTTGTGAATTTTTTTTCTACCACTGACTTTGGCTTATATTCATTCCACATTGAAGCCATATTTACAGCATACTATGTATTCTCTTATCTACCAAATCGCTTATATTCCTTCTGTACCAACCCAGGATACTCGCCGAGTTGTGTTTAATCGTTTTACAACCTTGCTCACACTTTCTGCATTTGTTTTCGTCTTATAATTTGTCTATCCTGGCCTTGTTTGCATAGCCTGCAACTTTGCTACAAATATGATTCTGTTTCTTTCTTTATAAAAACTAACATTTACCTGAAAAAAACTCACACGTTCAGCAGTCGTCTGTCTGTTGAAAAACAAAACAAATTGACCATAAAACTTTGCTTTTTTCTTTTTTTTAATCATTTCACCCAAAGCAAGGTAACAGAGTCACTAACACGCTATTGTGTAAGAAAGAATATAAGGAAAAAGAAAAACATTATTACGGGGCGAAAACAATAAAAACACAAGAATTAAGAATACAAAAGATAGTGAATGACATTACATTTAGTTTTTTGAAGATCATAGTTGAGTAGGAAGAGACTTTCGTAAACGAGAAATGAGAGAAAAGAAACTTTTAACAATGAAATTTACCGTTACATCTAGCTATTTCAACTGTAAATTGAAGAGACCTGCTGCCAATCTTGTACCGTGCTTAAATTCATAGAGTCTAGGTAACATAGAAGCAAGTTCATCAGTCTGGTTATAGCTAACCATATCTATCTACCTCACTCCGTTCATATCTATCTATCTATCTATCTATCTATCTATCTATCTATCTATCTATCTATCTATCCCTGTCTGTTCCTATCTATCTATCTATCTATCTATCTATCTATCTACCTCACTCCGTTCATATCTATCTATCTATCTATCTATCTATCTATCTATCTATCTATCTATCCCTGTCTGTTCCTATCTATCTATCTATCTATCTATCTATCTATCTATCTATCTATCTATCTATCTCCGTCAGTTCCCATCTATCTATCTATCTATCTATCTATCTATCTATCTATCTATCTATCTATCTATCTCAGTCTGGTTATCTATCTATCTATCTATATTAATATCTATGTATGTCACTCTTTTCATATTTATCTATCTATTTATCTATCTATCTCTTTCTGTTCATATCTATCTATGTCTGTCTACCTATCTATCAATATATATATATATATATATATATATATATATATATATATATATATATATATATATATATAGAAATTTTGAAAAAAACAAACAAAAATCCTTAAATGTAGTTAAAATGAAAGAAATGTCGACGTCCGACGTTTCGGTTTAATAAACCTTTTTCAAGACAATATTCATCAAAATACAATTCAGTTCAATATGACAAATACGATGGACATAAAAACACAAGTCTTATTCAGAACAGATAACTGAAAATTTTAAAATGATCAGCCTTCCGTCTAACATAGTCACGCCGTCGTCACATGGGCGACGCTTTCATAACGTATTCCTAAAAGTTTGTGATAATTCTGTCGGATTTATATCCATTTACACTTGCTTATATATATATATATATATATATATATATATATATATATATATATATATATATATAATATATATATCTATCTATCTATCTATCTATCTATCTATCTATCTATCTATCTATCTCTCTCCCCTCTGTATATATATATATATATATATATATATATCAGTTCATATCTCTATCTGTCTCATTCTCATCAAATCTATCTTTATTTCTATACATCTAATTATCACACGGTTCTATTTTGATACTAATTATGAGCCCTCTGTTTTAATTATCATGATTAATCAAGCCAAATTTAATAAGTCTATCAAATGTAAAAATTATTAATAGTTGTTTGCATTATATTCAATATGAAATCAAAGTTTTTAAATAAAAAAGAATGCCTTACATTTAGGATATAAAGAAGATATATCGGTTTGTGTTTTTTTTTTGGGGGGGGGTATTTTAGGGGGTTTTCAGTTATTTATTTTTATTTTTCGTTTTTTTTTTGTTTTTGTTTTTTTTAATCTTACTTATTGGCGACGCAGTAAAACCTTCAGTATTTTAGTTGATGGAGGAAGATTATGGATGTCCCTGATAAACGGAAATCAGGACATTGTCATAACTTGATCCGTTAAGATCATTGCACAATGCACAGTAGATAAGAGGTACGGACAGGTCAACCTCTCCTGACATACGAGTAAACGTTTGTGATACGAAGAATAATGTCAAGGACAAGCAGCTGCTGGCTTATCAGCTATTATTGCTATTATTTTGCTTGTTACAAGGTTGCTATAAAGCATTCATGCTATTATTCCTACTGTTAATTGTAGAATAGTAGATACATTATTTTTGTTCCCACAATTGATTAAAAAGAGAAAACTAAATAATGTCAAAATCCTTAATTCAACTCGTGGGGGTTAATTAATTCTAAAAAAATCGAACGAAGACGTTGACTTACATTTTTAATTGTTCAACCATTTTTGTGGTATATTTTATTATTTTCAAGAGGCGTTAGCGTAAATATTTTAAATGTATTATTTCTTTTTACTTTTTTCTTATAAAAATACGTAATGTTTAACTTCGTTATTTTATTATTTGATTTTTTATACATTCTTCTGTCGTCGACTTTAGGCAATAGAAAGTTGATGTTTTATGTATATATATATATATATATATATACCATATGATGATGTGCTTTATCTTAACCATATGATTGGGAAATTACACTGACAAGAGCTAGCTTCCGTAGCATAAGTACTGCTTTTACTGTTTGTTTGTTCTGTTTGTTTTTTTGTTGTTGTTTTTTTGTTTTTTTTTTGTTTTTTTTTTTGTTTTTTATTTGTTTGTTTTTTTTTTTTTTTGGGGGGTCTTCACCGAGAGCAACTTCACCAGGTCTTCAGTTTGTGCAGTTACCTCCACTTTGTCTGCCAAGATGTGTGCCAGTTGTCGTTCTATCCAGGACTATAAAAAAGAAGAATTGTCTCTTTCTTACTCTTTCTGCTCCCGAATATAGTAGCCATACCATGAGAAGCTTCCTCTGTCAGGATTCACTCCCCGGCAGACCGACTACTTAATTCGAAACAAATTACGTGAGCATAACACACAGGCATACACACACACTACGGCTGATTACATGAATGATTTATTTCCCTTTTTAACCGTGTTTATATACGTAAATATAAGTTTCTGTCTCTATGTTGTTCTTGGAATTAATTTTGAAAGTTCTCAATCTAATACGCAATAAGGTTTAAGCACTCACACTAAAAACCGGTGACAAACAATAACTTCGTCCATTATTATCCTATTACACCTATCCTGCTACAAGTTGTTTGTCGTTACAATTCTCGATCGTACTTGTTACTCTACGATTATTAATATTATTATTATTATTATTATTGTCGGTGTTGTTATTTGACGCAATCTATTGGCACTTAATTAGCAGTGGCATAAAGAAACAGAAGGCTCAAGAAATACACTTATTCTTTATCTTAACCTTATGAGTGAAAAATTAAATTGACAACACCATTCGTAATATGCAGTTCTGGTAAGCATTATTCTTAAGAGTCTATGAACATTTTAACGGGATATTAGTTGGTGCCTTTCTTAATTATATCTATTACTCCAGAGCATGATAGGAATTGTCTGTGATTTTAAATTTTCTATCTTTGGAGTTTCAGTTTCAAGATCTTTGTGTTTAATAAATTTATTTTATTCTTTTACAGACATTATTATCTTCTTTCACATGGTTTTCTTTTTCAACCAGAGATCTTTTATTATAGGTGCTCTACATTAAATCATCCGATCTCACACACAGCATATCCTCTGAATTATTTACAGTACCAAGTAACGCAAACTTCTGAAGTGATGGGATACTAGACTTTAATCTGATTGTCTTGAAATTAGAAATTACGAGGGTCATTCAATAAATAAGGTGAATTTTTCGGTGTAAGGACTTCTAATACAGATAGAAGCTTACTTTTTTTTCTTTTTTTTTTTGTTTGTTTTACTTCTTTTTCACATGGATTTAATTTCTTTTGCAGATTAAAAAAAATTTGAGAGTTTTGGCGATTAACAAAGATGGTCGACCAAGAAGCATGCTCCATGATTGAACAGCGGTCAGTTATCAAGTTTTTGGTTGCTGAAGGGTGCAAACCAGTTGGAATTCATAGGAGAATGTCAACTGTGTATGGTGCCACATGTTTCAGCCAAAAACACTGTCTACAAGTGGGCTAAATTGTTTAAAGAAGGACGGAGAAGCGTTGAGGATGAAGACAGGCCTGGGAGGCCTACAGAAGTGAGGTCTCCTGTGGTGATCGAATCAGTCAATGACCTCATTCAGTCTGACAGAAGAACTACTGTGAACTGCTGAGGCAGGTCAAGAAAGACATAAATAACAAACGCAGGGGTCATCAGTCAAAAGGAATCATCTTGCATCATGACAACACAAGGCCTCACACAGCAGCCCAAACGGTGCAGACCATCAACAAGCTGGGCTGGGAACTGCTCCCTCACCCCCCTTACAGCCCAGACCTTGCCCCTTCAGACTTTCACCTGTTTGGTCCCTTGAAAGCGTTCACGAGAGGCACGAAGTTTAAAAGTTACGATGAAGTCAAAGGTGTTGTGAGCGACTGGCTGAGACATCAGTCCAAAGATTTTTACGCTGAGGGAATACGGAAGCTTGTGCACAGATGGGAAAAATGTGTGACAATGCTGGGAGACTACGTTGAAAAAAAAAAGTAAGCTTCTATCTGTATTAGAAGTCCTTATACCGAAAAATTCACCTTATTTATTGGATGACCCTCGTATTACTATTATTCAGAGATTGTCGTTAATTTCTTGATCTGTTCACTCATGAAGGTTGGTGTGGCCCTCCTTAATATGTGAACAGTACCAAGGAGAACGATCTTGTGAACATCTTCTATCTTGAGGTTGCCAAGAATTTTGTTGGTGCATATTTCCATCCTTTTATTGACTAGACCGAGAGCACCTATTATTATTATTACTGTTTTATTTTCTTTGGTTTCTGGTGTATACACATTTCTTTCCGGGTCCCAACCAGAGACCTAAGGTCAGAAATGGCATCATGACATTTTCCACTGAGCAGTTTTGAAGAAAAAAAATCACAAATATTTTACATAGATAAAGCCCTTCTTAAGGTGTGGGATGCACTTGTGAGTACAATTGTTTGTATTTCTTTAAGGTATGGGCTTCCAGGGATTCCTTCAATGAGTCTACTGGAATCTATTTCGAATCAACCCGAGGGCTCTAACTACAATTGGAATTGTTAATGTACTCATGTGCCACATTTTTGAAATTTTGATTTCAAGGTCTTTGTATTTTGTTAGTTTTTTGAAAATCTTCAAAGATACATTGCAGTCTGCTGGGACTACCATATCAATAAAGAGGCATATTTTGCTTTGTGGTCTCTAATCATGATGTCAGAGTGATTAGCTTTTATTGTTCTGTCTGTGTGTATTGTAAAGTCCCATAAATTTGTTATAGTTCCTATCTCTGTAAGCGGGTCTGCGTGGTGTTCATACCAATTTCTTGAAATTTCCTTTCCGTAAGCGGTGCAGATTTTCTAGTACAAATATTGGCCCACTTTGTCACGCCGTGTTTTATATTCAGTGAGTGCGAATATTATTATTATTAGTAGTAGTAGTAGTAGTAGTAGTAGTAGTAATGAGTCAATTGAGCCCTTTTCTAATCAGTCCGAGTGCTCCAACTAGAACTGGAATTATTGATGTCTACGTGTGCCACCTGTTTTAGATTTCCACAAGATCCTTGTAATTTGATAGTTTTTTGAATATCTTCAAAGATACATTGCAATCTGGAGTGACTACCGTGTCAATAAAAAAGCACATTCTGTTTTTGTTGTCTTTGAACAAGATGTATGGGTGATTAGCTTTCATTGTGCTGTTTATATTTCACTGATCATATCTGTAAAATAAAAAAAAACGTAAGATCACAGATATTTTATCGCCTAGCTCCTTCATTGTGTTTTTTTTTTTTTTGTTTTTTACTGATTTTCCAGATCTTATTCCAGAACTCCTAGGCTTTGATAATAGTTGGTATACTGACATCTATCTCTTTGACCAACTCATGGTAGACTTCCTTGATATGTTTTTTGAAAGTATTTGTTGTAGCAGATCTACGGATGATAATTGGTATGTCCCATTCACATAAATACATTAGTAAATACTGTAAGTTGGTCTTCAGTTGGAGATTCGTCTCCAGTAGTGCTAGTCAAACTAAGTGTCCTGAACTAGATAGCTCCAAGGAAATGACTTCATACCTGTTTTCCTGCAAGGAGGCAATTGAATGCATTTAACAGGAAACTAAAACTGTTCTGGTTTAACCTGGAGATGGGAGTTTGTACAGTTTCCTTCCTTAGCAAATATATGCACCTAGCTGCTTTATGATGACCTAGTAGTGTATGTTGACCTTTTGAAGCAGTTCTATAATCATATGAAAACTCACTTCTCTGATCGACACCAAATGACAGTGCAGCACTGATTTGTGGATCACTTCATTGCTAATTCATTTGAAGTTGATATCACCCTATGAGAAGGTTTCATTGAACTTCAAAATACCACAGCAGTTTAAGCGAATTTCAAGCGTGGAAGATACCATAAACTTTGGATGAATAAAGGTATACATAATAATTATCCGCTACTCTGAAAGATATGAAGTTGCTCTTACTCGTTTTCTCACATCTTACTTGGTTGAGTTTGGTTTAAGTCGGGTGATGCTTTTGCTGTCAAAGACTCAATAAAAGATTTACACAAACAGTTAGTATATGACTTACGGTTACATCTAGCCATTTCAAGTGTAAACAAAATCACACCTTGCCTCCAATCTAATTACACGCTTAAATTAAAAGTCTAGGTACTATACAGGAAAGTTCATCAGAATAATTGCCGTGAAAATAATAAAGCACTCACATGCGCATATATACATAAATGTACAAACGTATATATTCATGCACACACACACACACTCTCTCTCTTTCTCTCTCTCTCTCTCTCTCTCTCTCTCACACACACACACACACACACACACACTCTCATTGGCCGTCGAAATGTAAGAACAAACCTGTTTGTTTTGCGTTTTTATTAAAGTCGTTAATGCCTGTTTGTAAAATAGACCTCTTCATATATAAGAACAGAAACTAAACTACACCATTGTAAAACATCACTTTTTTTATTATGTAATTTTTTTATTCTCATCAATTCTCACATTGCATTTCTGACACTTTATTACTTTATTTCCAGTAACCTTTAACGAAATTAACGCTCACCCAAAGGTAAATAGGCCAACTATTGATGAGCATCTTGTCATAAAAGGTGCATTTTCAAATAACTTCTTTTACCTTTAATTTGACTGATTTTAATAACGATTCCACCTCCTTTTATTTTTATATTTATATACCTGTGATAAGGAAAAACTTATAAATATTACTGTTTAGCATGGTGTGTAAACTTTGGCACACTTTCAGTGTTTCTTTCTTGGGCTCACTCACTTATTTTAATATGCATTTTTTATCTTTAAGGGAAAAATTATTTTTTAAAAATACAATATACTTTAGTGTAAACAATATGGTTTTATTGCAGCTGTAAAGAGCTTCAGACAAAGCATAAGGGGTTTGTTTCTGTGGTTGATAATTACACTGAGTGGAAAGACTTTTTCTTTCAGCATGCATCACGCGTTGTGGTTTTAAATCCAGAAAATACGTCGCACCTCTTTTATACAAATACGTGCATCTCTGCACTTGAGAATTTGACAATGGATATTCGTCAAACTTGGTTTATTTCTACACATGACGAAATAAAGAAACCGAGGTAAAACGGTGGGGTAACGACACAAAAGAATAAAGTGCATGTATTGAAAACCAATATTCAGGGTTGGCATATTTGCGGGTTTACCGCCCGCTAACATGGGTATGAAATATGCAATGGCCGCAAACAGAAGGGAAAGCGCGTTTAAATTCATATAAATTCTAAGCTTAGTGCTACACGAAACTAAAATAATGTAAAAATTACGTTGAAGAAGATCTTAGCAAAAGATGAATGCCTAAAAAATCAAATTTCAAATATTAGGTTTTTATCCTGGCTTTAAGCACGAGGTTAATGTTAAATGAAAACTAATGAAAAATTATTATTATTATTATTATTATTATTATTATTATTATTATTATTATTATTATTATTATTATTATTTGTGTGTGTTATGTTTCCTGTTTTGTATCCTGTAGAGCCGGGTTCAAACTATGGTCCTTAGGCCCCCATTATTATTATTATTATTATTATTATTATTATTTTATTATTTGTGTAGTTATGTTTCCTGTTTTGTATCCTAGTAGGCCGATCTTCTAGGGTCCTTAGGCCATTTTATTATTATTATTATTATTATTATTTGTGTGTTATACCTGTTTTGTATCCTGGAGCAAACTGGTCCTTAGGCCCTATACGAGAAATTGATAGCATTTTCCTTTTCTTAACTTATATATTGATGGCACTGTCAAAAATTGTCCATTCTTTTCTTATTAATGCTTATTTGGTACAGCCTCAGTCTTCATTCCACACATCCTGTTAATCTTGATCTCCAGGTCTTTGTATTATTATTATTATTATTTGTGTATGTTATGT